CCATTCGGTGTCAGTTAAGCACAGGCAGGAGCGAGTGGAACTGCTTCAGAAAGGTCTCTGGCTGCTGGTGGGTGAGGGAGAGATGGATAGTGTGGGAGGGACAAGGAACAGTTATAGTGGCCAGCAGTCTGGAGAAGCTGGGGGCCAGGTCGACCACCTCACCAAAGGAGGAAGCAGGACTTCTGGGAAGGCATGAGGACCTGTGATTTTCTTTCCCCCTCATATGGGGACCCAGGAGACTATGGCCTCAGGAAAAATAAACCAAAACCCAGTGGCCTAGATCAAGGGTCAGAACCATTTTCTATAAAGGTCCCAATCGCAACTATCTTAGGCTCTATCTATGAGCCAGGTGGTCTCTGTTGCAACTTAGCATAGGCAATGTTAACAACTGGCTGTGGCTTTGTGCAAATAAAACTTCATTTGCAGGGTCTGTCAACCGCTGACCTAGAGCAAGAGCTGAGCATCTTGCTCCAGAAAGGAAGTAATTTCCAAATTGCCCTCCTCACACTGCTGGGCGGCGGAGAACTGCCTATGACAGTTGCAGTTCAGAGGCCCGTTTCTGAGCTGGAAAAGGCATGCAGTGGCCCCAAAGCCATGTCTCCCCTTCACTCATGACCTGTGACTACTACCCATCTGTTGGTGGGGGCCCTGGGGCTTCTTCAGCTTCCCCTAAAGGAGTGAAGGCTGCCTGCTCTGGAATGCCCACCTATCTTGCCCTTTCCAGCTTGGCGTGCGGTTGAACAACTCCTATCTCACCCGGCAGATTCAAGTATACTCTCCTCTCAGGCCTTCAAGGGTGTCTTTGAGATCACGATCTCTCCTTCTATCCCTGCACCCCAGTCGGGTTCTCTGGAGGCTGCCAAGTTAGGCCTGCACACTGCTGCCTCCCGACACATCCATCTGAAATGGGGCCTTTGCATCCCCAGATGCAGGGCAGGGCTCTGCTGGCATCTGCAGATTTGAATTACTCACTTGAGCCAAGGTTTCCTGCCAATTATCCTGTTCTCTCCCTATTTCCAACTCAAGGTCAAGAGACCATGGCTTTTTCAGAAATGGGTGAATTCACTAACTGGACCAATGACCTGGGACGTGTCCCCTGCCTTTGTGTTTCAACAATGGGGATGGCCTGGACAATTTCTAAGGAGCCTCTGGCCAATAATGAACAGCAGCAATAAGTGTCCTGGGCATCTGAGAGCAGATCTGGAGGTCTGGGGTACAATGGCACCGAGAGATGGTGGGGTGAGGGCAAGAGAATGGGAGCTAGTGACAGCAGCAGCGCACCTGGGCCCTGGTCTGCCTCCCTGCCCCAGACCCTATGGTCAAATCCAGCAGCTTGTGGTCCTTGGGAGGGTGGAGATCTAGTTGGGGGAGGGGGGCTGCAGAGGGGAGGCTTTGATAAGTTGTTGTGTAGGGTCACAGAAATCTCAATCTGTAGCCAAACCTTCCAAGCATACCCCTCCCCCTGCCCCCAGTCAGGAACTGGACCCAAAGGGCAACTTGTGACTCAAATATGCGCAAGCAGAGTCACGCTGAATTCTCCAGGGGTGTTCAGGGAAAGCAAGAAGCCACAGTGGCACAGGCTAGTCTGGAGTCTGGGGAGCCACCAGGCTGTCCCCCTGGTGAACATGCCCCCTGCTGGGGGTGGTGCCTGAGGTTCCAGAGTGTCCACTGTCCTCCCTGGGGCAGCTCAGGCTACAACTGTTCCCCGGGTTTAATGCTGAGTAGGCCGGGGCGGGGGTCAGGCAGAGAGGCCAATGAGGTCAGCTTGGGTTCCTGGAAGTTCAAGGTCAAGCTCCCCAACGCCAGCAGAAGCCGGCTGCAAAATGGAACCCCTTCCCAGCATCCTCCCTTTTGAGCTGACTGAGTCTCAGGTCAATGACTCACAGACCCGGACTCCTGGGACAGAGGCCTCCAGATGCAAAGTCCCGGGGGCATGCCTGCCCCTGCCCTCGCAGAGAAGACCCTCTGCTGCCTGGCGCCCTACTCCGTGGGTGGCTGCACAGGAAAGGGCCCTGCTGCAGGGAGGAGGAGGGAGAGAAGGGAGCGGACAGCTGCGTGCTCCATGGGGAGGATCCCCAAAATAGAAAGGCGCATGAGCATGGCGGGCCTTGACCCAGAATGCTCACAGCTCCGCCATCCATCCGGCTCCCCTGGCGCAGTGCGGCTGCTGAGGGGCCTGAGCTATCCTCAGGGGCCTGGTGTATTTCTACCTGAGCTCCAAGGATGCACATTTCCCATCGTCCTACTGCCAGAAAAAACCCAGAGCCCACACAATTGCTGGCCACTAAACTAAGTGCCAAGAGCAGTAACACCCTGTGTGTTTTTTATTGCACTCGCATCCACAGCTTCTCTGACACCCGGGGAACCTGACCTGGGGGCAGAGGGCAGGTGATGATGCTATTTTACTGGCGGCCGCCCTGGAGCCCAGAGACTCAGGCGAGAGCTCACGGCGGGTGGAGACAGCTGCCTCGCCCGGGGCTGCACGATACAACATCATGGTGATATGGGGATGCAGGATCCTGTACACCGAGCGAGGAGAGACGTGGGCCTTGCGTAGCTCCGCACTCCTCCCTGGGCATCTCTCTGCAGTCACGACAACCGGCTTGAGCTTTCCCGGCCATCGAGAGGGAGAACGGCTGGGAGCGGGGAGAGAATCGGGGCAGGTCGACTCACTGGGGCCTCGGGAGCCAGCCGCTATCGTCACTGAGTGCCGGGACAGACAGGCAAGGCACATAGCGCCCCTTCCTTCTCCAACCACTCCTCTAATGCCTGAAGCACCCCGTTTCATCTGGCACTGCCTGAAGAAAGAAAAAGGTGTCTGCTCAGAGCTCGGACATCTTTGCAACTTGCAGGAGGCTGAGATGCGGGCAGACAGCACGGAGACTCCTGCGCTAGTGACCATGGAACTGCCAACCCGCTGACCCAGGGGTTGTGGGGGTGGGAGGGTGGGGGGAGGGGATGGAGAGCTTAACTCTAGGAGGGACCAAGCGTCCTGCCTCCCGAGCCCTGTGGTGACTGGTTGGGACAGCAGGTTGCTCAGTGATTCTGCCTGTGTGCGTCCTTCAGTCCACAAGTGCCAGGTCCCAGGGCTCCTGCACATGTGTGGCTGATTTCCACAGGAGCAGAGGCTGTCGGGATTGACCAGCCATGAAAATTCAGCAAGAGCTGCCTTGGCTCCTGGCTGGCAGTTGGAGCCGCCCCCCTGCATGTGGGCCCTTCAGAGACCACAGACACCTTCTAAGGAGACGTGGTGTGCACGGTGAAGAGGAGTTATCTGAGGAAGTTGTATTCAACTGAGGCATATTTTTTTTGATGCCCTCAACGGGGGCAAATCCTTGTCTTCTAGCCCACCCTGGAGTTTCGGAAAGAGACAGGGAGAGACAGAAGAACATGAGGTGCCACAGAGAAGGGAGAAGGACCGATCAGGTTCAAGGTGTGGCTGTAAAGCCACGAGAGTGAGATTTTGGCCAGGCTTACTTACAAAGGGCTCTGAAGGCCATCTGCAAAGAGAGGCCAAGGCCAGAAATGGCGTGAGCAGTGGCGACTTTTCCAGTGAAGACAGGGGTGGCCTCTTCAAGGTCCTATTCTGAGAAAAACCCTTCCAGTCTACACCCGGTCAAAACCAAAACCAAAGCAGCTACTGACTAGTCTGTCTAAAACACTGTTGGTGGGTGAGAAGGGAGGAGGACCCCGTAGCTCCCAGCCTGGGTACCCCCTCTTCTCCCCAAGGATGTAGGGACAAAGTGGGTGAAAAGAGTGTGAAAGAAATGGAGCATGGGCTCAGAGGCAGCACCCAGAGCTTTCCCTTCACTGTCTCTGTTGTTGAACATGAAAGAGAAGCAAGACATAAGGGGTACTTGGGGTGGAGGCTAGAGATCACCTCCTGGAAGATGCATGTCTGATTTGGGGGACATGTTGCGGCCAAGTAAGTACTCCATCCCTGCCAGGGCACCCGACCACCATCTCTGTGAGGACTGGCCCCCAGTAAACAAGGCTTTGTAAACATTCACATACTCAACTTGATACCACATTCTCCATACAGCGTCGGTGGTAGGCCAGCAGGGTAAAAACAGAAGCAGGATTCCCCGACACCTGTGCATGTATCAGAACCCTAAATTAAAGGGAAAGCTCACTTACTGAAAAGTGGGTTGCCCTTGGAATTGGAGGAGACAGGTCCTCTAGTCATGTGAAATGACATTACCTCAGAGCCCTGAGCTCCCAGCTCTCTGAACAGGAAGGAAGCAGGCCCACGGCTCTATAAGAGCCATTTCCTCTCTGCTCTATTACTCTCAGAGATTAAGCAGGCCACTCCTCTGCGGCCCCAACACACTGAGATAACAGCCATTGTTCACTGCAGCTCCTGCCCACGGAGCTAATCTTGGTAGGCTGGTGATGTTGCGGGCCTTTTCGGGCAACTCAACCAATCAATGGCCGTCCTGGCCCCTTTATCATCCCGGCTCCTGGAACTACCACTGGAACCCTTAACTCTGACTCTCAGGCCGCGGATGGTGTCTGGTTCCCAGGGAAGAACGTAGGAATTTGTCAAATGAGTTTTAAGAAGGACACCAGGGCCAGAGAGTTGAATGGGGATCCCGTTTTTGTGTCCTACTCACTGGCTTCCGGTTCTCAGTGGGACAAGGAAGCGAACGCAATACATCTTGTGCGTGTCATTCCACATTCCTGTTTCTATTAAGAGAAAAAATAGGCCTCTCTTCCCTCTCGCCCTTCCTCTCTCTCTAGTCGGCAGGAGGGCAGTGCAGAGATCACTGCACTGGGCCCAGAAGGAGCCTGCGCCTGCGTTTCCTGCTCTCCCCAAAACTCACAAGGGGCGAGGCCAGCTCATCTCCTAGCTGTTTTCTAGGTCAGATTTGAGTTCCTTAGATGTGGGGTTGGTTCCCTGCCACCACGTCTGCACAGAGAATTTCAACAACACATCGTACGTTCAAGTTTAAGATTAGAAGCATTCAACACCCCCCTCCCCCCATAGCCCATTGTCTGACCGATTCCTGGAGCTTTCTGGGCTCCTGCCGGTTTCCCACCATGGCGAAATGGGGAAGCATGCTCTTGATTACAAGCCGACTTTTCCAGTCATCCATTGTTTGACCTGCAATTTTATTCTTGACTCTCCAAGGCGCTTCCCCAGCGACCTAGACACAGGGCTTAGGGAGACAAAAAGTAGACTGTCTTTCAGACACGAAGATGAGACCATCGACCCCGAGAATTACAGACTCTCACAGCCAGGTCTGGGTGGAGTCAGCCACATTCCTTTTCCTGTCTCTCCCCACCCCCTCCCTGCATCGCCCCGCCCACCCCCAGAGACCGGAGACATTTCTCCGGGGCAGTGGGCTGTAACTCAAATAACACGGGGTTTCCAGGCCAGGACTGCGGGTCCTCGGGCTGGCCTTGCTTTGTGCGGCGTGCAGCGAGCGACAGCTGGGAGAGGCCTTCGTCCTCTGACGGGCCTCTTACATGGAGGGCACGGAGGCTGGTCCGGTGACGGCTGACAGCCCCCTCGGCAGGACGAGTAAGCTGGATGGGCCGTACTACAAGGGGCAGCCCCAACTCTGGGCCCATAGCCCCTGGCCCAGTGTACAGACCAACAGCTCAAAGCCTGGCACAGTGGAAGGCAGCAACGCAGGTTGGGAGGGCTCGGGAAATGCGGCACACTAGTTTCCAAGGAATGAAGGGGGGGGCGGGGTGATGCCTCCCAGCATAAGCGGCCCACGGCGGGTAAGCAGCCACGGCGTGGGGGAAGCTGGTTTTTTCATGACATGGACATGAAGTGAGCTCTGAGAAGGCGCTCCCATATGAAGGGATTTTCCCTCCCATAAACCTCCCTGGCAGGAGAGTCATGCCGTGAACTGTCAGTGCACACACTTGTTTGGAAAAATGGAGATGTATCCATGACGCCCCGTGCCCCGGGGTGCTCTGACTCCTCGGGACCTTGTACGGAAAACAAGTATAAAAGACGCTGCACGGCGGAAGGAAGGAGATGGCTGTGCGGACGGCACAAGGGCTAGTACTGGGGGTTTTCTTTTCGCCTTAGAGAGCCCAGAGATGGCCTTAAAGAAGCTGGTAACCAAGTGCTAAAGGGCACAGACAAAAAGGCCCGGACAAATGTCTTCTCTCTTTGTAGCTGAAGCACCAGGAAAAGGGCAACCTCCCAGCACAGAAAACCACTCAGGTTCAGTTAAACATCACAAAAGAAATCACAGTCCCACTCCTACCCGAGCGAAGGCCGCCCACCCCCACCTGGCAGCAGTGATTCCTCTCTTCCCGGCCCCTAGTGGACACTCAGGACTTTTGTCCCTACACAGTGGGAGTGAAGACCCCCCCCCCCCGCCCCCGCCAACGTGAGCGGATGGGGAGAGCAAAGGAGGCACTCCTCTGGTTCCAGCCGGAGGGCATCACGGCAAGACTAGTGGGGAGCTGCCACTGTCACCACTGCCCAGCAGCCATGACCAGCCCCCCTTCCCCAATAGCAATGAAGGCTGAGTGGGAACGTCCATGAGCATGTGGCAGACAGGAGATGGTCCCTCCTCCTCCCGGTCAGAACATCATCAGAGGAAGTCAGATAAAATGGAAGTTCTAAATAAGATCCACTTTTATAATATCCCAAAATGTCTGTGTTTCAGTAGAAAAGTCACTCCTTATACCCAGAAGCAGGACGATCTCAACGAGGCGCCAACACTGAGACAACACAGGAGTCAGAATCATTTACAAGGATTTTAAAACATGATCGTTAGAATGGTTCAACCGAAATTACACACATTATTGAAACAAACGAAAATAATAAAGTCTCAGCAAAGAAAGAGAATCTAAAGAACCAAACAGAAATTCCAGAACTGAAAAATACAATAACTAAAGTAAATTTAATGAAGGGCTTCAAGAGAATGGGATCTACAGAAGGGACGTAGTGAAAATCAGAACAATAAAAATTCCCCCAGCTGGACACAGAAAGAAAAAGAAACTGGCTAAAATGAATAGCATCTCAGGGACATAGGGGATCATAAAAAAAATCTAAGGTTCATGTCACTGGAATCCCAGGAAAGAGAGGAGAGACTAGGACTAAAAAAGCATTCAAAGAAATAACGACTGAAAACTTTCCCAATTTGACATTAGACATAAACCTGACAATTCAAGAAATGGAGTGAGCTCCTAAAAGCATAAATAAAACCCACATCAAGAGCCATCATCATCAAACTGCTAAAATGTTAAGGGAAATCTTGAAAGTAGTAAGAGAGAAAAGAGACTTAGAGACTTTACCCACTCCCTGGATCAATGAGGTAAACGTAGGAAGAATGATGTAAATGCTTGAAGAAAAAATGGAAAATCTTCATGACGTTGGTCTTGGCAATGGGTTTTTAGCTATGAGAGCAAAAGTATGAGCAACGAAAGAAAAAAACAGATAGATTGGACTTCATCAAAATTAAAAACTTATCTGCATCAAAGGGCATTATCAAGAAAGTGAAAAGACAACTTATCAGATGGAAGAAAACATTTACAAATCTATACCAGCTAAGAGTCTAGTATCTAGAATACATGAAGAAATCTTACAACTCCGCGATAAATAGAAAAGCAATCAGTAAAATATGGGCAAAGCTCTTGAACACACATTTCTCCAGCAGAGACACACTGACAAGCACACGGGATCGTTTTCATAGGATTAGGGAATTAGGGAAATGCAAATCAAAATTGGGACATACCACTTCCCTACCACTAGGATGGTTATCATTTAATAAATAAAAAAAAAAAAGGAAAATAACAAGTGTTGAGAATATGGAAAAACTGGAACACTGATGTATTGCTGGTGGGAATATAAAATGTTACAGCTGCCGTGGAAAACAGTTTGGCAGTTCCTCAAAAGGTGAAACACGGAAATGCCTTCTGACCCTACAATAGTACTCCTAGGTATATTCCCCAAAGAACTGAAAGTAGTACTCAAACCCTTCCATACAAGTGTTCACAGCAGTGTTGCTCACGATGACAACCCAAATGTCTATCAATGCATAGATGGCCGAGCCAGTTTTGGCCTAGCCACCCACGCTGGGGGCTGTGACCCAGCCAGGGAAAGGAATGAAGCACCCATCCCTGCTGCAACGTGCTAGAACCTTGGCAACATGTTCAGTGAAAGGAGCCAGTCATGAAAGGCCACGTAGTATAAAATTCCATTTACATGAAATATCCACAATCAGTAAATGCATAGAGACAGGAAGCAAACCGGTGGCTGCCAGGGGTTGGGCAGAATGGGGAGTAACTGCTTAATGAAGATGGGGTTTTTTTTGTTGGTGATGCAAATGTTTCAGAACTGAATAAAGAGGGTGGCTTAGTACACTGTGAATGTACTAAGTACCACCCAGGGTTACGTGAATTTCATCTTTAAAAAAAAAAAAGTGACAAAACCAAATGCTGGCGATGATGGGAGAAATAAAATAGGATTAGGGATGTAAACTGCTCACTCCAACAGTGCTGGTGGGAATGTACAATGGCACAGCCACTTCGGACACCTGTTTGATAGTTTCTTTAAAAACGGAACATGCAGCTGCTTATGTGACCCAGCAGGCTCGCTCCTGGGTATCTATCCCAGAGTGATAGAAATTGTATTCACACAACACTTTGCAAATGAGTGCTTACAGCAACCAACTACTAGCACCAGCCCAGAAATCCTTAAATGAATGAATGGCTAAATGAACTGGTACATCATACCATGGATTACTGCTCAGTAATAACAAGGCATGACTATTGATACATACAATGGCCTGGATGAATCTGCAGAGAATTATGCCTAGTTAAAAAAGAAATCCCCAAAATTTACATACTGTGTGACTCCATTTCTATTACATTCTTGCAAGGATTAAGGAGCAGGTGGGAGTGGGAAGGAAGTAAATGTGTCCATAAATGGGCAACAGGAAGGATACATGCAGTGATGGAAATATTCCGCACCTTGCAGCCCCATTGTGATACTGTATTATGTTTTTGCCAGATGCCATTACTAGGTAAAGCTGGGAAAAGGGTATATGGGATCTATTTGTGTTATTTTTCATAATTGTATATAAATCACAATATCAAAACAAAAACCCAGTTACTATCACATTGATGCAGAAAAAGCAGAAAAAGCACTTGATAAAATTCAATACCCATTTATAGAAAAAGTCAGAAAATCAGAAATAGACAATATTTCCTCAACTTGATAGAGAAAATCTACAACAAACTTATAGCTAACATCACACTTAATGATTAAAGACAGAATGTTTATCCTCTAAGATGGTAGCAAGGTAAAGATGTTTGTTCCTTCATGGATAGTCAACATAGTGTTGGAAGTTCTAGCTAGTTCTTCATTAAGGGAAGACCATGAGGTAGAAGGCACACACACTGGAAAGAAAAGAAGTAAAACTATCTGTTTGCAGCTGACATGATAATCTACATGGAAAATCTTAAGGAATCTACAAAAGAATGCCTGGGCGCCTCCCCAGTGGCACAGCGGTTGAACGCTGGGCTGCAAAGCTACCCGCAGCCTCTGTAGCATTGGTTTGATCCGCGACCGCCAGGCAAGGGTGCCACATGGCGCGCAGACCTCTCCTGCCGCCCGCTGTTCCCCTCAGCAGTGTATTTCGTCAGTCTGCCTGTTCTGTTCCCTGCTCTGGCTCTGGTGAATCCTCTCACCCTCCCGAGCTTCTGACTGTACCCAGTGCTTGTATAAATAAATAAATAAATCTTAAAAAAAAAAAAATGTCTGGAACCAATAAGTGAGTTCAGCAAAGTCTCAGAATACAAGATCAATATACAAAAATCAGTATGGACAAACAATGGACTCATAGACACTGGATTTAAACAATATCATTCAGTACTGCACAAAAAATACTCAGGTATAGATCAAGTATGGGACTTATATGCTGAAAACTACACAGTAATGATGAGAATAATCAAAGATATAGATGAATGTTCATCAATTGGAATACCTGACATGGTAAAGATGTCAATTTTTCCCAAATCCATTTACAGACTCAACCAATTCTAATCAAAATCCCAGCAAGATTTTTTTGTAGACAAAGACAAGATTATTCGTTATGTGGAAACAAGATTAAATTTATGTGGAAAGGCAAAGGAAGTGAAAGAACTCAAACAATTTGGAAAAAAAAAAAAGAATAAAATGGAAGGAATCAGTGTGCCCGGTTTCAAGACTTAATATAAGACTACATTAATCCAAATTGTAGAGTGTGGGCAGACGGATAGACACACAGATAAGTGGAAC